GAAAACTAGAACTGGAATACAAGGTGCAGCTGGTCTGCACTAAGGTGTCTGGCAAGGTTCAAAACAGGCTAGTGGGGGATGAAACAGCTGAACAGTGAAATCCACTGTCAGAGCTAGAAGAGTGGAGCCAGCGCATCACCTACCTGTATTTCACTTGCCTCTAGCCAGTGCTGTCAGCTGCTTGCTGTAATTCACTTCAAAATTAAAGCACCAAGGAGAAAAATAAGATTAACCAGAGAGAGAGAAAAAAAATAATTGATGGATGGCATAGCAATAAAACATCCCCATTTGCATACAGGACGAGCTTTCTGCCTTGGGAACTCTCTCTTTCTCTCTCACTGTGAGAAGCCGTAGGCTTGGGTTTGTGTATTAAATTAGATCAGGGTGATTTAATAATAAAACATGCACACGGGAGAACCAGGAGGCCGCTCCCGACTCATAGCCCATTGCAACAGGGTGAATAGTTACTGTAACAATAATAGTACCCCGTAAGCCCGGCATCCAAGCAAATCACCTCCCTTCCCTGGCTGATAGGAGCACAGCCTAGGGAACCGTGGATGGGTCAATTATTCAGGGGTCATAACTACTGAAGGACAGTTGTGTGCATGTTATGGATATGTCTTCCATCAGGGGTGCATGATCCTTGGTCCTGAGTGCAGAGAACCTGATGGACAGCTCTCCAAAGTGCTGCCTCCGGTGACCCTGGCCTGCAGGAAGCAGTACCTCCCATTGCCAGGGAAGTAGAGAGGAAACGTTCCCAAGAGAGCGGACAGCCGAGAGGCAGAGACAAGTGAAGAGGGATTGCGCAGAGGCTGTGAGGCTTTGAGAAAAATCAGAATAGCAAAAAACCAACTCCTGATGCCCATTAGAGCAGATTTTGATCTCAATTAAGTTGCTACAGTTTCACTCTGGCCTGGCATGGGACCTGTATCTGGCCCCTTTGAATCTTGCTTCTAGCCTTTCCCCTTTCTCTTAGCTCATTTTGCTGCCAAGAGGGTGAGACCGATCTGCTCAGAAGGCAACATGGTTCCAGGAAGGCAAAGTAGAGGAGGCAGGACAGGGAACAGGCCAACCTGACCAGAGCGCGACTTAAGGGGGAGCTCAGTGGGGCTGAGCCCTCGCATAAGAGACAACTCCCCCCCTGTAAGATTTGAAAATCATAACCTTGGGAGGGGGCGGGGGTCACAGATCAGATTGCTTCTCTACTTACGTGGACTTATTAATCAATGAACTGGTTTAAATTTTTTTGCAGCCCCCCCCACACAAGAGTCAAAGTGTAATTTGAACCCTGGACCTGACCTTGGAGCACTTGGCCTTGGGTCTTGCCTATGTTTCTTCTTGCTTCAGTGTTTGGTTTGGTTCAACATCAAGGGCAGGGAGTGACTGAATACTGCAGGGTTCAGTGTTATGTTACATGCCAGGTTTGGCCAATTGAAAAGTTCCCAGACTTTGGGGAATTCAAAATCCACTCTTGGACTGGAGCAAAGGCCAAATATCCCCCAATACTGAGGGAAGCTCTGGCATGGATCACGCTTTTGCTCAGGCATGCCTCTGCAGGGAGCATGCTCACAAACACTCCATGCAGAGGACTTCTTCAAGAAGAATTGTGGACACCAATGAGACTGCGTGTTAGGGAAGGATTTTTTGTGATATTGAGGACAAAAGAGGACACTTCATGGCAGCATGGACTGATACTATCTACTTCTAGGGATTAAAAATTCCAAACATGATCTAAGAAATAAAAGAGTCTCCTTATTAACAAGCAGACTCCCACAGGAAAACAACAGTTTAGTCTTGCGTGCAAGATCCTCACATACTAAACTGTGGCCTGAACTACTTTGGTGTGACCCATGATGTACATCTTCATGACAGCGGGAGAAAGTTCAGTCTTGCTGCTGAGAAAATGGGCCCCAATCACTCGCTTCTGCTCTGTACACATCATACCCAGAAATAAGGTGGTGAGGATAGCCTGAGGAGCCACACTCATGCTGCGTTCAAGACCTGGGTTTCTAGCTTGTTCAGGAGCACCGCATGGAGGCATCTCCATGGTATGTTTTCATTACCTTATTCCTCATGCATTGGAAGTGGCTGGGTAGGGCTTATGTGGGCAGTGGCCACTCTGCTGCCACAGGGTAGATGACCCCATACAGTCAGGATTTTTAAAGCAAGAAGAAACCATTGGCTCATCCAACCTGACCTCCTGCAGACACAGTTTTAATCAGTTACCCCTTCATTGAACCAAATAACTTGTGTTTCAATAAAGCAGACCTCCCAGAAAGGCATCAAGTCCAGATCTGAAGACACCACAAGATGGAGACTCCACCACTTCCCTTGGGAATTTGTTTTGATGGCAGGTCACCTGCACCATTGGAAGACATGCACCTCATTTTTAGTTTGCATTTTAAAGCCAGACCAAATCTGTTGGCAGTCATGCCTTTGATGGCAGTAAGAGCTTTGGGAGTTAACTAATGCTCAGGATCTCTCACTCTCTGTAATGCCCCAGTGGAAAGAAGACTGTAGCTCTTACTTCACTGTAGTTAGATCAGGTCAGTCATGGGAAGGGGCGCTATGTTGAAAAACCGAGTCTCATCTCCACTAGGATTTTACAAGGAGAAAACTATGAAACATGCTAGTTACATTGCTACACAAACACATTTTCTTGGTGGTGAAGACATATGGAATAAGGGACTTACGATTCATGACTCGTTGATCTGGAAAAAGGAGACTGCACTACAAAAAAACCCGGCACTACCCCAGTCCTGAGTGACTCCCTGGAGATCCCCTATCAATTATGTAGAAGCTGAGACACCCCATTACACCTTGTGGTTTCTAAGAAACCATGTCTGACTTTGTGGGCCTTCATTCCCGGTGCTGAAGCACAAATAAACTCTGGCAAAGTTCTCCAGAGTGGTGAGTGGAGATGCTGAAGCTGGAGTGAACTGAACTGGTGAGAGGAGTGGGCAGCTTATCTGCCCTACTGATTTGCATTGGTGCTCCCATAGTTTACTAAAAGCTCCACTCCTGTTTCTTACTAAAATACTAGAGGCCTGTGCATGTATGTTATATATGGTGCAACTGGATACCCACAGCTGCTTCATGTGCGGTGCATGCATGCGTACTTGAATCATAGGTGTGTCATCGTGTGCACTGCATGCACCTTATGCAGATGCAGTAGTGGCGTGTGCAGGGCCAGCACAGACAGAGCTGGCACAGCACACTCCCATACATCTCCAGAGAACCTTGCTTCATTGCCAAGAGACCACGCATTTGGACCATGAGTGAAAGGCCAGTGCTGGGCTAATGAGCTGAGAACGGATCCTTTTACGGTGTAATTAATTCTCAAGTGCTTGGCAGCAGGACGGAGAATCTAATATTTGTTTTTTAGCTGCACAGCGCGAGCTGAAGTAGAAGCAAATATAATTACTCTGCAAAATTCTGGATGTAGGGAATCATATATTCACACAGAGCTGAAAGCTTTTACTGGCTTTGTAAAGGGCCCTTATGGCAGGAAGGGGGTGGGGAGAGCTTAACACAAGGTAGTTGCAACCAGGATGGCATAAAAGACCTAGAGAGCTCTAAAGTGGGGTGGATGGAGCAGTGGGTGAATTCTATTCATGCCACCCCCGCCCCTTCCAGCTATAACTTCTACCAGATGAATGCTGGATATTTCCCAATGGAAACTAAGGCTGTCCCTCTGCCAGCAGAAACCCCCAAAAAGGAAAGCAGAGGATATGTAAACCTACTATTTCCTAGGAGCAAGGATCTTAAAAAGAGCACCAAGAAGTCATTTTGCAGTTCCCTACTATATATAGGGTAAGCCTAACCTACTTGGTACACACACATATGCCACATTCACATGTGCCCCCACGTGCATATACTTAGAGGAATCACCTCCCCCATTTCTGGTCTGGGAGTTACTTTACAGCACAGAGCAGTACTACAACAAAGGGATGAAATTGCATTAGGAGGGCAATTTGCAATGATGGAAACAAGAGATGGGCAAGGAGTCAGGGACAGGCTTGCACAGATGGCCCTGGGTCTTACCAGCTTGAGAGACCTCCCACTGCTTATCTCCTCCTTTGGATATTTTTGTGTCTCATTTGAAAGTAGCATTTGTCTGGCTTCCTTTAGTGCTAACCAAGATTAGATGCAACCAATGAAGGAAGGACAGATCTGTGTATTGTAAGACATCCGCCCCTGTTGCCATCACCGTTCTCTGTCTCTGTGCATCATTACAGTTAATGACTCTCTCACTGCACAAACCAAGGCTGCAGCAGTTTGGATGGATCAGCTTATTGGACCTGAAGAACACTGCTCAGAAACTTCACTTACTACACAAACCAAACCCCAATCTCTCCAAGGGGTTGGGGGTATCGCACACTGGTAGCTGATGATCATGTAGCCCCATCCATCTTCCTGGCCCCCAAATTAGCCATGGGTCTCTTACCTGCAACCCTTTAACCTGCTTCACCTGACTTTATAGTGCAAGAGAAAAATTGCACGTGCGCCATGGCAAGGACCTTAGAATCGAAGCAAAAGCGGCTCCTAAATAATCTATACCAGGTTTTACATCAGACCCCTGAATGCCTGGAGGCCACTTCAGGAGCGCTAAGACAGTTTTGTGGAGCACTACAGCCAGGGGCTGGAAGATAATGCAAGTTACACCAGCTTTGATTCACAAGATTGCTAGGGAGCTCTCTCTTAATACTGAATTACTGGCCGAGATTTGGAGTGGTCTTTGCTCAGCTGGGACTAGCTTAGTCCCCTGTTAAATTCAGAACAGCAGTGCTCTGGCCACCCCATTTTCAATCTTACCCCCTCAACTAAGGAATACTGGAGAAGTGCTATAGAGCACAGCTACGTTGGCCTGTGTCACCCAGCAGTTCCCCTTAAGCAAAGAGCATTCACAAGGTGATGGGCAGATAGCAGATATATAGCAGTCTATGACTATGTATATGTAATAATAGTGTAAGTATTGTAAATGATATGGCAAGTGGGGTAAAGTTTCTGTATAACAAGAGGGTTATTAGAATCTCTTGCATGACTGTATTTAATGTAATAGGGGGCCATGGGAAGAGTAAACACAACTGCAGTACACGAGGTCTCGTTAAGCAGCCTCAGGCACTCACTTGGAAGGTAATGGGGCGAGCTGTTAGCTTCAAGGATTCTGAACTGCACCAAATTGCAAGGCTTATTTCACTGAAGTGTGGAGCCTTGTGATAGAAAGGGCATGAAAAGGTTAAAAGGTCCTGCTCAAAAGTGGGGGAAGGCCCTGGTCAGAAGCAGCCTAGGGAGACAGGCTAACAGAGGCACTCTGTGTTGGAAGCTGGGGGTATTAAAGAAATTGGGCCTGCCTAGATGTAGGGAATGCTGAGCTTTGGAGCTTGCTTATAGCTTGGTTTAGTGTTTCTATGATGTATAGTTTCTAAAATGCTGCCGCTGTAATAAATCATACTGCATGTATTTGTAGTTTGGTCACTGCTAGTTCTGGCTCCTGGAAAATGGAGTAAACTTGTAGGGAGTGGACACAAGTCAGATGGTTGGAGGCAAGCACAGTCAATTCTCAGGAGACTGCTGCAGTCGTATCCTTAGCCAGACGATGCCCTGAGAGCTGAAACGGGATGTGTCCTTGGGACCTGGAGGGACCATAGGTGTCATTTTACTTAGGAACTCCCTCATGCCACTAGATTTTTCACTGGCTGGCATTGCCATAGTGCTGCAAAATTAAGCAGCAAGCTTGGGGGGAAAAGGGGGCTGGCAGACTGCAGTCCACTGTGTATTCATCCAGTTTCCTATAGTGCTCTCCTTTTGACTTAGGTCTTCTGCTGCTTCCCATCAGACAAGGTGGAAGAGGCTGGAGCAACCAAATGACCAGCAAAGATGCCACTGCTGAGGAGAGGAGAAGGGAGCTGTGGCAGGCAGGAGGAACAGGCCAGTCGGATCATGAGAAATGGGAGATCAACATGGAAACATAATTCTGCTCCCCTTCCCATGCTTGAGACCAGAAAGGACTTCAGGAACCATAGGAGCTCAATGGCACTTGTGATTCAGGTGTGCATTTCCTGCCCTGACAAGGGGGCTTCATTCATGGGCAAGCACACCCTTCCAAAAAAGGGATGAAAAGCCCAGTCACAACCCCTGGGTCTCACTTGGAGCGAATTCCTGGCTCTGAGGCAAACCTTGCTTCTGCTTCTTTCTGGCTGGTGAGAGCAGAAGGGAAGAAGGCAGGGAGGGTTGGGAAAGCAGGAAGGAAAGCTCCTACTGGAGTTATAAAGAAGAAGCATTACACAAGGCATTGGTACATTACTTGCAGTAATTCAACTGTGGAACAGCGACGGAACAAATACGACAAGATGCTATACATTAGCGGAGGCACAAGCCATAGCTGCTCCCTTCGAAAACAAAGCATTTGTCTTCTGACAGCAAGCGCAACAAGCCCTGAACATTAAGAAGTGGGCCAAGGGAACAGAAGACAACAACCCAAGTCTCTTTACAGCTTCGTGGATGGCAGCCATCACAGCCATCTCCTTCCCACTCTTTGCCTCAAACAAAGCTGACCCCCACCATGGCACTGGGCTATGACTAGCGCTAGGAGATGTTCACCTGCTTATGCCTATTTTGTGCAGGGATGTGTGTGAGTTAGCAGCTCCTGCAAGGTCCTCTCTGATGCTACGTGGCAAGTTCACCTGAGGAGGGGCATGGTGACGTGAGAAAGGATGGTGTAGTGATTATAGCTCTACCCAAGGACAGGTTCAAGCTGTTGCCCTGCCACAAACTTTCTGTATGACCCTGGGTTAGTTACTCAACTTCTCCCTGCCTCAGTCCACCTGCTGTAAAATGGGGGGGAATAGCTCTGCCTTGCTTCCCAGGGGGAGCTGAGAGAATAAAGACTGCGAGGCACTCAGACATTGAGTAATGGGGGCTTGCTAAGGTACATCACAGATTTGTGGCAGTTGCCAGATGTAGTCACTGATCCCCCCTCTCCCCACCCACTCCAAAAAGGGGCATACATCTGCCTTGCCTCCTCTCTGCTTCCTGCACATCTCCTCAAGAAACTGAGAGAGTATCTTGGTACCAAACTGCCCTCCATGCATGCTACTTCCATGGGGGACAGAGAGGAAGAAACCCCAGTGAGGAGCTACATGCAGGGCTTCTATGGATCATTCTCTTAAAAGTGTGGAATAGAAGGGCTGTGAGCCGAGCTTCTTCTCCCGCAAAAGGCCCGGATGCTTTCCATCACCTCACAAGCAACAGATCCCCCAAAGAGCTCCAAGGAACCCTATCGGTAACAGCTGTGTGCAAGGAGGCCCTTTGCCTCTCAAGTGCCTCTCACTGTTTCCAACCCTTCACAGCACCCACAAAACTGGAGGCTGGGTTAAATAACCTATGCAGACCATAATTTTAGTTTCCTCCTAAATCCACCCACAATGGACCAATCCATTCCTGTAGAGCAGTGGTGTTCAGCCTTTCTTCATTTGCAGACCCCTATAAAATTTCAAATGGAAAGGCAGATCCCTTTGAATTGTAAGTGAGGGCCTTTGCATACTTTTGATCGATCATAGTCATGTTTTGTGGATCCCTTAGAAAGTCTGCAGACCACCAGAGGTCTGTGGACCATGGGTTGAAAACCACTGCCGTAGAGCACATTTGACTAGGGAGAAGTGCCCACCATTCTGGTCCAGGAGCCAGGGAGTCAGCAGTGGGGCACATAGCACACTGGGAGATCCCCATGTGTGTGCACAAGGGCACATGTGAAGGTAGTGTTCAAGAACAACAAAGTACATGACACTCCCTTGTTGTGGCAGCTGCTGGCAGGGCAAAGTGGGCTGGTCACTGTCAAAATCCCTAATCCTTCCTGTAAGAAAGTCTTGTCCGATTAGGGCTGTTTTCCCATGTCTTGTATAGAACTAGCCCACGGCAGTGTAATACTGCAAGGTTAACATGTTCTACAGTCCTCCTTAGACAGCACCTTATTGCACTATTAATAGAGACCATTCCATAATGATGCTTCACAGTCTTACAGTGGCTGCTGCGGAAGATCTCAAAGCCCTTTTAATGTATTCATTAATTGAGCCCCAAAGTGACCCTCTCAGAGGGAGGTAAGCATCATTATTCCCCATTTCACAGATGTCATCGCTCTTTACCCAGAAGGGGGGTGTGGGTGGTACCCCCTGACCATGGATCCCTGGGCAGTCAGCCATGCTCCCTTCCCCCCACCCCCTCCTAGGCGGGCTTTGCTCCTAACCATCAAAGCAGTGAGGTTCTAGAGCAACCTTCCAATACAAGTAGTGCCAGAAAAAAAGATCTACTTAGTTTTAAGACAAACTTTGTCAGTTTATGAATGGATTATACAGCATGGCAGTCTGCAACAACAGGGAACTGGACTTTCTGACCCGGGAGGTCTCTTCTACTCTTAGGTTCCTATGACCAGACCTCAACCACCAGTTTAGGTTCACAAGAATAAGCGTGAGGGAGACAGGCGAGTCACTAATATTAATCTTCAGAGCTGGATTTTAAACCCAACAACATTCAGAACAGCAGATTGGGCTCAGCAGATTAAAGACAGGAGGTGGTCAGGAAAAAAAAAAAAGCGAAGAGTGAAAACACAAATTCTTACAATTTTTCACACAACTGGTAGAAATGTTTTGAAAAAAAATGCGATGAGGCTTTTTTCTTACAGCTTTGATTTGAACAATATGATTACTTTCATTTGCATTTTTTCCTTAAAATGTGATATAAAAAAAAAAAAAAGTGACCCATATTTTGAAGCATCTCTAACAGTTTTATTAGAAAGATCAGAGCCATTAGAAAACCATGATATCTTAGTGCTGCTTGGTAATGAGTTCTTCAAGGAAGGTTTTCTATAGCCATGGGTTCAGCTTAGTTTTGTACCCATCTATCTCTGATATAGAGAGGCAGTGAGAATAACTATAAGCACATGGTGACTAATAAGTGTTTATTGCCACCAGATTCAGTTAACCTACATTAGGCCATAGAAGGACCCAGCATTGGTAACTCCTGCAGACTATCCCAAATCATCTCATACAGCTTCACAGCACATAGCGCCTTTGTCTCTTATTTATTTGATTTGGGGTTTTGTCCTCTTAAAAAAAATAATCCTCTCTAGCTTCCATCCCTGTTTTGAGTTTCATGTCCATTAGTTACTATGGAAACACTGATGCCATTGGTAAGAGTGGAGCTCGGTGACACCCTCAAGGTCAAAATGTGGGTAATAGGCAATTTACGGCCTGGTTTAAAATGGATGAAGCAGTCTAGGAAAGTGGGGAGCAGAGGCAGTGATTATAGTGGCCTCAATGCATGTGGTATAAATAAATCTCAATGTATGCAGTGACCCAGGAGCTTCTTCTGCCTCCAAATGCTCCAGGTCCTACATACCTATGGGACTTATTTCTCCCTTATCATATGTCCCACCTCAGTCCCCAAGGTCAATTCCTGCAAGTACCACCCGTGTGCCAAGTTCACTGGGCAGCAACACATGGAAGGTCATTCTTGGTAGCAACCCCTTTGCTCTGGGGCTCCTTTTCCCCTTGGCCAAACCTGGATAGCTATAGGAAGTGCTCCAAGACCTCTTTATTAGGAATGGTGTTTAGCAATCCAGGCTAAGGTGGAGTCTTGTTCAGTGAGTTTGTTATATAATTATGTATCCACTTTTCTAAGTCATCTTGTTTTGTTTTTTCTGTGAACTGCCCACACCTCCTTTTGGGAATGGCTGTATGTAAATCTAATGGATAAATAAATAGATGCAGCCCCCCATGTTCACCGGGACTGTGTACACTGAAGGTTCAGGGGAACTGTGCATCCAAGGGGACTCATTTCTCCCTCCCCATGCCCAGTCCTCTCCAAGGTCTGTCCAGGAACAATCTAGCCTTAAATGCAGATAAGGATAGAGACAAACATTTCCACCTGCCCTCTTAAGCCTCCTGCACTGGAGGTCATTCACCACCAGCCCCTCTCCCCGAGGAGTAGCTTTGAGACTACATGATTGCCCTACCACACTATTGTGCGCCCTCTCCTGGGCCCCCCTCTTCTTTTTCTTGGTAGCCATTTTTGTAGCAATTGCTCAAAAACAGGTTTAAAAATATTCCAAAGATTTTACTTTAAAACCGGAGTCTGTACTACTACTTTATGGATGCTTTGATATTTTTAGACCAAGTTTTCAAAATCCATCCATTCAGTTCCAAGGGATCCAACCTATCCAGTCGCAT